GGCAAAAATGAAGGTTATCCACTGTGACCGCCTTAAGCCGTACCAAGGCACGCCTTTGAAGTCTTGGATATTAGAGACGGGCGGCAGGGGACAGGAAGCGCAGCAGCAACCTGCAGGAGATATTCCTGAGAGAGAGGAAGCTCAGATAGAAGTAGATAGTAGCCCAGTGGAACTGGGCCAGACTTTAGTACCAGAGATACAGTGTGATCGGGAAGCACCTGAAGGTGCAGGCAATGCAGGATCTGACCTAGAACCTGCACCCCTGAACATGACACATGTAATACCTGCACAGGCGAGGAGGAATCCTTTGCGCCAGCGACGGCAGCCACAGCGCTATCTGTAAATAGCTCAGGAATCTAAGGGAGATCGATTAGTTCTAGGACTACTTAAGAAGTTGGGTAGCTACAGTGAAGTAACTGTTCTTTCGTTTTGTTTCTTTTGCTTTCTTTAAAGGAGGATGGAGGATCCCAAGGCAGGTTGGAAGAAGCCAAAGGACTGGAGTACCTTGAAGGTATATGCATGCTCTGAGTGTGAAGACACATTCATCAGTAAGAGGAGCCTGGACAACCATCTCGGAACTCACAACAAGAAGAAGAGCCTCCTATACTTCTGCAAAAGATGCGACAGGAGATACGGGAGGAAGGACAACCTTAGAGTGCACTATCACAATCACCACCCCGCAGGAATGGATGACCTGAAAAGCGTATACCCTGAGACGGAAGAGGAAAGAAAAGCAGCAAAGCAGTCTGAAGACTCGGATGAGGTACCGAGTACTTCTTCTGCCCCCTCCGGACGGAAGAGGAAGAGACCCGAGACTGCAACCGTCGACAGACCGGCAAAGGAGGGCCGGAAGAAGGAAGAGAAACGAGCAATGAGGTCAGGTGAACCTGAAGAAGAGACGAGTCTTTTTGCTGCCCCCTCGGCAGGAAAGGGGATGGGAACGGAAGTTAAGAGTGTTGATAAGCCACCGAGGGAACCGCAGAAGAAGGAGGCCGAGGAGGAAGAAACTCAGGTCCCCTTGACACCTGGCAGGGAGTTAGAGATAGATGATGTGGCTGGGATATCCTTGTCACCAGCTTCCGTGTCTCTGCTCGACAGCGTGGAGCCGCGACGCAGGATGGTATATGGAGGGAAACCACAAGGGATGATGTCAATGAGGCAGGATGTCCAGGCAGAAGCTAGCGACGGGGAGGAAACAGACCTCAACGACGACGCCTCTATTTCTGTTAACCTTGGGCGAGCACTTCAGGGAAGCTCTCTACGGTATCAGGAGGGGGATCTTCGGAAACGCACCTTTCCACCTGCCACAGATATTCAGCCGACGGGCAGGCCAAGACGTCAGCACTGGAGGAACCACCACGAGCCAGAGTATGCAGGGTCAGTAGTGGCAACCCTGGGTGGCGACGGGCGAGTCCGATCGATACTGCTGATCTGGAAGTGATGATGGCCGGGAATGTTCGTCAAGTGAAGGAGGTCAGCACCAGGAGCCAGTTTCAGAATGGGTTGAAGGTATCTGAAGAGGTCGTAGAGAGGACCTACGATGTGGAGTTTACGGCCGGTTTCATCCTCAAGTAGAGTTTAGGTTTTCTTAAGGTTTACATTGTTGTTTTTAACTTAGTTTTGGAACAGTGTAAAAGTTTTATAAGAGAGTATATTTGTTAAAAAAAGAGACCGATCTTGCCTTCATTAGCTACCGCATTCCCTTAAGGAATACTGTATTTATTGATGATCTTTGTGTAAACTCCCTCAAGGAGCAGGGTAATTACTTTTGATTATATAGACGTCCTTGAGGTATGTTGTGATTGTATTTCATGTGTATAAACTCCCTGAAGGAGAAAGTGGATCCTTGTCTATTTTTGATAAAGCCGTATCAGGTGTGATTTGTTTTGGACACTCCCTTAAGGAACCTCAGAATCTTACCTTTCTTTAAATTTCCCTTAAGGAGACCACAGTAGCCTTAAAGGTAAAGGTGCTTATTTTGTGTATAAGTGAACTTTATATTTTCATTGTATAAGATGGCACCTCAGTTAATTTCGTTTTGGTTGTTTTTCAGTTTAACGGACCGGGACGGTCCGAACTTAAGGTTGGGGCTGTGTAACGAAATTGGCCTGAGTGCTTGTAGCTTTCGCGCGTCATAGCGCTGAGGCGTGCCATACTTGCTGAGCATGCGCAGTGGGCTGCTTAGGTGACCTTGAGCTGTTTTGCGCGCGCTGTGCCTCGTGTGTGTACGTGGCGGGAGTTGCTGTGGAGCTAGCGGACTGAAGAGACGTGTGACGGCGGAGCTCTAAGAGAGTTGTTGTAGGGCGCTAGGCTTGTGTGCGTCAGCGTTGCTGTTGGTGTGTAGTGGGAGCTGGTAGCAGCGAGGCGGAGCGGTATAGCGACCGACCGCCGGATCCCAGAGCAGCATGAGAGAGGCTGATCGGAGTGTCCGAGACAGCGGGACTGTCGGAGCCGTGTCAGAGAGTCCGTGGCGGCGGCGGTTTGCCGAATCTAGTTGCAGCAGCTCATAGCGCGGGGTATGTCAAGCTGACGTATTTGATAAAGTTAGTGACGAGCACAGTTCAGGACCGATATTGTTGAACCTCCCCACAAGTTATCACATTCAGTAATAATTTCTATTAAGTGCCTTCAGTAATAAACCTCTCTATCAGTAATTCTAAGGCTCAGTAGGAAACTCGATTATATCCCTTAAGGATACAGGAAACCCTTAAGGAACCTCAAGGCTATACCTTAAGGAACAGCAATCCCTTAAGGAATATGCAACTTAACTGAAGTGATTAAGGCGTCTTAGTTATAATAAAGGGAAAACCCCGCTGGGGCCTGTGTGAGTCTTGTTTGCTCAACCAGAGTTAATCCTCAATTGTTTATCTCTGCATCCTGTGCATGGAGCAGTAGGGCTGTGCGATGTTGCAGTGACATGGGCATACATGTATGTATGGACGTGTATGTCAGTAGTAAAGATATCGATTATCACCAGAGTCAGTATCAATATGGTGTTCCATTGATATTGTTGCGTTCCCTAATAGCAGTTCATGAAACATTATTAGAGTCAAAAATAATTCAATAAGTTGGAAGGAAACAGAGCTTTGGGGTGACAGTCACACATGTCAACACACTGATTTATTCATCTCTTCACTTTACATAACTTTGTTAGATTTCATCAACCTATAGGGTTTCTCCTTTTGATAGTCTTTGGTAGCGTTATAGAGATAACAGGTTGGCGTCTACAAAGTCTATACATGTACTATGTACAATGGCAAAACCATGTCAACCAATACGAACTGAGTGGGCACCGGCACGGTACGGGTTATCGACGGTCTGACCGAAGCGGGAGCGGACCTCTGCGGTGACCGGGGAGGCAACGGCAACTGGACGGGGCCAGCAAGTGTACCAGGCCGCACTACAGTTCGAACCAAAGTGTGCATGTGGCGTATTGGGTATCCAAGGTCAATCGTGGCACTATGCACCAAGGATAGTGTTTATGACAAGACCGGGCTAGCATAGCTGAACTACGGGGGGAATGGCTACGGGGAGCCGGCTGACCACAGCGGGAGCGGTCCGCTGTGGTGACGGGGATGAACTAGCTCTGGCTGGGCTAGAACACCAGACAACCGCACAACATGTTCAAGCTAAGACTAGCAGTCCAATGGCCATTCGAAACCGCACAGCACCATTGGGACTAGTGTATTACTATTTCACCAGCTTCTACACACTCCTCGAGGGATCTAGGAGAAGGATGCTTCATAATAACACTAGTACTAGTGATTGCACTATTACTTCACCGCGCCTCAACCACCAAAGGAGGCCGATGCTTCGTAGTGACAAGAGTCGCACAACAATTGGTGTCTCAGAGTCGAGTTCATCGCACATCATACGATTTACCGCACAACATATAAGTTCGCCGTACAACTTTGGGTTTAGGGTTCGTTCGCACTACATTGGTTTCGTGGTTCGCCGCACTGCCGAAAGTGAGGAAAACCTCCGGTATTTATAGGCAGTAGAAGTCTCGGGATTAAATAATGCATGAGCACTGATTAGGAATTAACCAATAGTAATCTTCCATGTCTAAGGGTCACATGACTAGTCACATGATTTACTAAGAGTGCCTAGTGCAAGAGACTAGAAACGTGTGCATTTACATAAGGGAAAACATGGAAAGAGAAGTGTGCAAATACAGAGAGAGATGTGTGCAAATAGTTAGATCAGAGTGCAAAAGTGTTTACACAACATCTCGAGCAACCTTGATGGAGTGAGTGACAAGCTAAAAGGTTACTGTGTCACAGGTTATTTACATCACAGGATGTCTTACCACGCCCAGCTACGCGACCACGCAAGGTAACATTCCATTCCCTCAAGCTAAGTACGGGACTGGAAAACGGGACCGAGAACTCCCGTTAGAGTTCATGGGTAACACACGGGGGAGAGAAACGCTCCGTGCCGCTGAGCAGTCTCTCGGAGAACGCCAAAGCACGCATGCTATGGGGAAAGGAACTTAGCTCGCTGGGGCGAAGGGAGGTGTGGTCAGTCGCGCACATGTACATCGCTACATGAATAATGCATACAGTAGCGCGCGTGGTATTGCATCATGCGCTGTGCTTGGTAAGAGACCCTGGGAATAAAAGTGCAAGTTGGCAATTTACGATAAATGGGTAAAATACAGGAACTATAAAAGACAACAATAAGATTGTGTACTTCATGGACAGAGTGAATCCAGAGGGCGCTAGATTTCCATAATCAAGCAATCTGGGTTCGTAACAATATATTAGATATCGATTATACAAGTGTGTCACAATTAATCGATATTGGTAGAAGGAATTGGTCTTTTGCATTTCGTGTTTCTTAACTAGAATTTGTGTTTTACTTAGGTTTTATACTTGTATTTTAAATGTATTGTTGGATTTGTTCTTACAAGCAATGACCCTGCCAACATCTGCAATAAAGTTGTCCTCATGCATTTCTGTATCTTTGGCTGACAACTCTCCATTATTTCTTACATGCAGGGTCACCAACTTCATCATTTTAATGTAACTCTCGTAAGTGCCATCTCTTGCAATTACACGGGTGTAACATTTGGAGGCACGAGAGGGGTAGGCGTGTCTGACGAGAATTACAGTAGACCAAATGCGCCTATCCAGTGAAACGAACCAAGACCAGATGCAACAGTAAACGGCATCTAGACAGCCGACGGGACCAGCGAGTTGACTGGGTGTGCGAGACCAGGGTGTACCACCAGCGAGAGGAGGGATCGCCTCAACAGGGATTGCCTCAAGCCGCTGTCACGACTCGACCCCAGTGACGTCACCACGACCATCGTTGCTGTCTATCAAGTGAACAACATGGATATCCTGGAAGTTGTCGAGAAGGTCAATGCCAGAGTACGTGTCCTTTCCACTCAAAAGCTCCTTGGAGTATGCGAGCACCTGGGGCTGGAGACCGGAGATACGGCAGAGAAAGTCAATGGTCATCAGAGGCTGGTGCAGAACACGTACAGTGATGAAGTCCTAGATCGCGCCGATGGAGGAATTGAGCTGCTCCAAGGACTGGACGGATTCATCGATGGAATTGCTGGCCCCGAGGTTGTTCCGGATGAGGCAGCTGTCTCAGCCAAGAGTGCAAAGCCTGACTCTTCAGACGAACCTTTGGAAGTCCAGCCAGCCCCTTTGAAGTTGGTCCCCGCTAAATCCGAGCAACCAACTGTGGGACCAGAAGTCCTGAGTCTAATGCGTCGTGAATTCAAAATTTTTGGACAGATCGGAGAACCCGGCCAGAAGGACAGGCTGACATTTACCAGCCTGGCACACCAAATTGAGACTGGTCGTGAGAAGGGGTACCGGACAGTGAAGTCGTCCAAGGCGTAATCCGAGCTATTGTGCCGGGAGCAGCGCTGCGGAGTTACCTGGAGGGACGCAGACAAATCACATTGCCGAGTCTTCGCCGCATTCTGAGATGCCATTACCAAGAGAGGGACGCCACGGAATTGTACAAAGAGCTGGCGCAACTTGCCCAGGACCCGAAGGAGTCGTCTCAGGCATTTCTCTTGAAGGCGCTTGACCTAAGACAGAAGGTCGTCTTTGCCAGTCAAGAGGCAGAGTCTGGACTGTTTTATGACCCCATTCTCGTGCAGAACATGTTCCGGCATGCCGTCTTGACAGGTTTGAGGAGCGACAGTATCAAAGCTGAGTTACGCCCTCATCTAGACGACCCAGATTTGACCGACGAAACTGTCTTCGAAAAGTTGAGCGTGAGCTCAAGTTTGGAAGCAGAACGGCGAAAGAAACTTCATCTCGCAAGGCCAGTCGCTGTCAACCAGCTTCAGGAGAACGAGCCTGCACCAAAATCTCAACCAAAGCCAGGGCTGCTGACAACACAGATAGCAGAGTTACAGGCTGGGATGGCAGAGCTCGTGGCCCTGAAGACACAGGTCGCCGCCCTGACTGAAACGCTACAGAAGGCCCCGACAAGACATCCCCAATGACGAGCCCCCTCACTCCGACCCTCCACTAGACGCGGTTGCAGGAAGTGCGAGGAAGATGGCACTGGCTCATCCTGTGACAACTGCTTTAAGTGTGGATCGCCAGACCATTTCACACGTGGCTGTCGTCAAGGAAACACACAACGTCGCCAGGGAAACGACGATGGGTTGCACCCACGGGACAGGGTGTAACCAGGTCTGTAACAGCGTCCCAACCAATCCCACAGAATCCTGACCATAACAGAACTTTCATCTGCCACATTACCCCAAGACAACATCGGAAAGTGACAAACCTTGTCGGCCCCAGATGTACTGTTGATTGCCTCCTGAACCGTTTGCCCACGACAGTATTATGGGATACTGGAGCCCAAGTTTCACTGATAAGTACTGATTGGCTTCAGGACAACCTACCCAGTACATCTGTCCGTTCACTTTCCGAAGTTTTGGAACATGAGAGCAAGCTTGACCTACGAGCTGCTAATGGCACACAGATCCCATTTGAAGGATGGGTAGAAATTGAGTTAAAGATGAGGACACCACAGATGTGCCCTCCAGTAGCTTTCCCCGCTCTCGTCACCAAGAACCAGCTACAGCATCCCATCATAGGCTACAACGTGATCGAGATGGTTGTGCAGCATTCCGGCAAAGACGCGAGCTGCATTCTTGGTGGTGCAATGAAGAACTTGCAACAGAGTAGAGCTGAAAAGTTAGTTCAACTCATCCAAACAAATGACCCGGAAGAAGTGTGCAGTGTCAAATCGGGACGACAAGACATCGTAATACCCCAACAGAGCAGTGTCGGTGTGCGGTGTCGGACCCGTGCAGGACCACTAGACTGCAAGATTACGGGACTGTTTGAGCCAGATGTTGAACGTCAGTGGCCTGAAGGTCTTCAAGTTGAAGAGTCAGTAGTCAGTCTAACGCCAGGTACCTGTTGTCCCTTCATCATTCGAGTGACGAACACCACTGACAGAGACATTACTCTGAGACGACGGAGCCTGTTGGGCCATATTCAGCTGGTCCATTCTGTCTACCCGATAGAGCCATCCACTTTCAAGGAGTGGACAACATCCCAACGCAACTGCCCCACAAACAGCGGAAAAGCTACAGTTTCGAGTATAACCAGTGATGACCAATGGATACCACCAGTTGACCTGAGTCACCTACTACCTCTCCAGAAGGCTGCAGTGGAGAAACTCCTCAAAGAAAATTCGGCAGCTTTTGCAAAGGATGACTCCGACCTGGGTAGTGTTCCTGACCTAAAGATGAAGATCGACTTGAACGATACAACGCCAGTCCGAAAGACTTACATGTCCATGCCCCGCCCCCTGTACCAAGAGGTACTAATCAGCCGTGAATGGATCGCCAAATCTACTTCACCTTACTCATCACCGGTGGTTTGTGTCCGTAAGAAGGACGGGAGCCTGAGACTGTGCGTTGACTACAGGGAGCTGAATAGGAAAACTATTCCTGATCGTCAACCAATTCCAAGAATCAAGGATGTGCTGGACAGCCTTGGGGGCAACTGCTGGTTCTCAACCCTTGACCAAGGGAAAGCCTACCACCAGGGTTTCATGTCTGAAGAGAGTCGCCCCCTCACAGCTTTCATCACTCCTTGGGGACTTTACGAGTGGGTCAGAATACCCTTTGGTCTCACCAATGCACCCGCAGTCTTTCAAAGGTTTATGGAGACCTGCCTAGATGGTCTAAATGGAGAGATTGCCATGACGTATCTAGATGATGTATTGGTATTCAGCGACGACTTCCAGCATCATCTGGGACACCTACAGAAGGTCCTGCAGCGTATGCAGATCCATGGTGTCAAGCTACGACCAAACAAGTGCGAGCTGTTCCAGAGTGAGGTACGCTACCTTGGACGACTTGTATCAGCAGATGGCCATAGGTTAATTAGACCCCTCTGATGTAGCTGCTGTCAAGTCCCTCAGCGAAAAGAGACCAGAAACTGTAGGTGACCTTAGGAAGCTGCTAGGCCTACTTGGGTACTATCGCAGCTATATCCAGGACTTTTCTCGTATTGCCAGACCTCTCTACGACCTACTGAAAGTGGAACCAAGTTTCGAGCAGAGTAAGCAGAAGATGAAAACCAAGACAAAGACCAATCTCAAAACGAGGTCAGTGCAAAAGCTCTCCAAACAGAAGATTGACTGGGCAGATCATCATCAACAGGTACTGGATAAGATCCTGGGTTGCCTAGTCTCTCCTCCAATCATGGCGTTCCCAGATTACAAGAAACCATTCATCGTCCACACCGATGCTTCATGTGAAGGGCTGGGTGCAGTGCTGTACCAGAGGCTACAAGGCAAGATGCGTGTGATATCCTATGGTTCCCGCACCCTCAGTCCAGCTGAGAACTACCACTACCACTCAGGAAAGTTGGAGTTTCTGGCACTCAAATGGGCCATAACGGAGAAGTTTAGGGACTACCTATATTACTCTGCCCCATTCACCATGTACACAGACAATAATCCCTTGACATATGTACTGTCTTCTGCTCGTCTCAACGCTACTGGACACCGATGGGTTGCAGAACTTGCAGATTACCACTTTACAATAAAGTACCGCCCTGGGAAAAACAATGCAGATGCAGACACCTTGTCCAGAATGCCCCTCGACATAGATAGCTACATCAAGGTATGCACAAGTGAAGTCTCCCGGGATGAGATTGGCACCACTGTCAATGCTCTTCAAGCTGTAAACATGGATGAAGTCACCTGGGCTGCAGCAATCAATGTGAACCCTGATTTGTCAACTCCTACTACCAGTGGCCAAGTGATGGACAAAGGAGACATTCAGAGAGCACAGCAGGAGGACCCAGTAACTGCAAGAGTTATCCGGTACCTCCAGAGAGGAACACGCCCAACGCGGAAGGAACTGGCCAAGGACCCCTCAGATGTTGTTGCGTTACTCCGCGACTGGAAACATCTCAGCCTTGAAGATGGACTCCTCTTTAGGAAGAAGGGAGTGCGGGCCCAGATGATCCTTCCAGAAACACTGCGACCAGTTGCATACAGGGAGCTCCATGACAACATGGGACATCTTGGTGCAAGTCGTGTCCTCGACCTTGCCAGAGATCGTTTTTACTGGCCCCATATGCAGCGTGACATCGAACACTACTGCATGAAAGTGTGTCCATGCCTCAGAGACCGAAAGCCTGCACAACACACCAGAGAACCCTTGGGTACGATTGTCACCACAGCACCATTTGAGGTCATCTCCATTGACTTTGTTCATCTAGAGAGGAGCAAGGGCGGATTTGAATACATCCTGGTGATTGTTGACAACTTCACAAGATTCGCCCAGGCATATGCAACCAAAGACAAATCTGCCAGAACTGTAGCTGACAAAATATTCAACGATTTTGTCCTTCGTTTTGGCTATCCACACCGCATTCATCATGACCGGGGGTGAGTTTGAGAACCGACTTTTCAAACACCTTCAGCAACTCGCAGGTGTGGCAAGTTTGAGAACAACACCATACCACCCCTAGGGAAATGGACAGTGCGAAAGACTGAACAGGACACTACTGACCATGTTGAGGACCCTTACCATGGAACAGAAGGCTAATTGGAAAGAATCTCTCCAGAAAGTCATTCATGCATACAATTGCACAACAAATGCAGCTACAGGGTTCTCCCCATTTTTCCTCCTGTATGGACGATCTCCCCGCTTACCAGTTGACGCTGCCTTTGGGCTGAACCCACAACTTGGACCAGGTGCTGAAGACCACAACCAGTTTGTGAGGAAATGGAAGGCGCAAATGGAAGAGGCCTACTCCATTGCATCTCAGCATGCAGCCAAGTCTACTGAAAGAGGCAGAAAATACCATGACCAGAAGGCTCGCAGCTCTGTTCTTCAACCTGTAGACCGAGTACTCGTCCGCAACGGGCTGACCCATGTGGGCGTCATATGGGATAAATCTGGGCACGCTCATATGGGCAAAATACGGGCTGGCCCATATGGGTGTCATTAGGAAAAAAGCTGGGCAAGCCCATGTGGGGAAAATACGGGCTGACCCATGTGGGCGTCATATGGGATAAACCTGGGCACGCTCATATGGGCAAAATACAGGCTGGCCCATATGGGTGTCATTGGGGAAAAAGCTGGGCAAGCCCATGTCGGGAAAATACGGGTTGACCCATGTGGGCGTCATATGGGATAAACCTGGGCACGCTCATATGGGCAAAATATGGGCTGGCCCATACGGGTGTCATTGGGGAAAAAGCTGGGCAAGCCCATGTGGGGAAAATACGGGCTGATCCATGTGGGCGTCATATGGGATCAACCTGGGCACGCTCATATGGGCACAATACGGGCTTGCCCGTATGGGTGTGATTAGGAGAAAAGCTGGGCAAGCCAATGACGGAAAAATACTGGCTGACCCATGTGGGCATCATATGGGATAAACCTGGGCACGCTCTTATGGGCAAAATATGGGCTGGCCCATACTGGTGTCATTAGGGAAAAAGCTTGGCAAGCCCATGTGGGGAAAATACGGGCTGATCCATGTGGGCGCAAGGGCGGATCCAGGGGGGGGCCAAAGGGGGCCATGGCCCCCCCCCCAAAAACGAAACCAATTTGTTTTATTTTTTAATGTGACATCGCAATAAAGGCAGGCAATGAGTACACCACCATCTTTTCCTCAAAAAAATTGGTTAAAGTGTTCAGAAATTGCCTCAGATCGCACCACAGAGCATCTAGAATCCAAAAAAATTTTTAGACCCACTTTTTTTTGGGGGGGACCAAAATTTTTTTTGGCCCCCCCAAAAATTGTGTTCTGGATCCGCCCTTGTGTGGGCGTCATATGGGATAAACCTGGGCATGCTCATATGGGCACAATACGGGCTTGCCCATATGGTCGGGATTAGGGAAAAAGCTGGGCAAGCCCATGTGGGAAAAATACGGGCTGACCCATGTGGGCGTCATATGGGATAAACCTGGGCACGCTCTTATGGGCAAAATATGGGCTGGCCCATATGGGTGTCATAAGGGGAAAAGCTTGGCAAGCCCATGTGGGGAAAATACGGGCTGACCCATTTGGGCGTCATATGGGATAAACCTGGGCACGCTCATTATGGGCAAAATACAGGCTGACCGATATGGATGTCATTGGGAAAAAACCTGGGCAAACCCATATGGGGAAAATACGTGCTGACCCATGAGGGCGTCATATGGGATAAACCTGGGCACGCTCATAATGGGCAAAATACGGGCTGGCCCATATGGGTGTCATTGGGGAAAAACCTGGGCAAACCCATGTAGGCGGAATACTAGTACTGGCTGGCCCATGTTTGTGTCATAATGGAAAAAATCTGGGCAAGCACGTGTGGGCAAAATACGGGATGGCCCGTATGGGTGTCATAATGCTGGGCAACTCCATGTAGGCAGAATACAGACTGACCCATATGGGGGTAAATGGTAAAAATCGGGTGTGTGGGCAAAATACGGGCTGGCCCATGGGTGTCATTAGGGAAAAAGCTGGGCAAACCCATGTTCGCGGAATACTGGCTGGCCTATAAGGGTATCACATGGGAAAACCGTGGGCAAAACCAAGTGGGCAGAACACCGCCTGGCCCATTATGGGTGTCACATGGGGAAAAGCGGCAATCCAATGTGGGTTGAATACGGGTGGGCTCATGTGGGTGTCACATGGGAAAAACCTGGGCAAACTTATGTGGGCAGAATATGGGCCTGCCCATATGGGTGTTACATGGGGAAAAGCTGATCTAAGTTTGAACTTCTGGTCGAGCCGGAAGTAAACGTCGAAGGAGGTTATGTACAGTTCGCACATGTTGATCTATGAATGTAGCATCGCATTGCAAAGTATGAACACGATTGGTGATATTGTTGAACAGTTATAAGATAAATAATTGATCATATTTCGAACATCAGGTAGAGCCGGAAGTTAAGGTCAAACGAGGTCGTGTACACTGCCAAGTTGTTGTTCAGTGAATTGTCTATGGAATGGGAAAGTATTCACAAGATCGACAGTGTTAGTCAAGAGTTATAAGCTAAAGAAGTTGTTTAGAAAATGTCCTGTTGATCATTAAGAGTTGGTATGCAAATAGTCATGAATATTTATTACGTAACTGAGCATGCTCACTTGTGAAACAAAGCTGTGGGAGGAGCTTGAAAATTTGCTAACTGTGATTTAGAAAATGGAAATTATTGGGCATATATATATAGGAAGTGTGCACACAAAAGATGTAATTAGAAAGGACAGAGAGGGAGGGATGATTATGGGGGATGTGATTACGGGTATAGGGGATGTGATTACGGGGTATATTATGGTTGTAGATGTTATTTGGGAGGATTAAGGGATTAAGTAGGAGAAGTAAAGTTGGAAAGTTAGATGGAGCATTGTGAGATGTATTAGCGAGGAATGTGACTAGGGTATGCAAGTGATTTAATGGAAATATAACGTGATTTGGACATTATGGTGAAAGAGAATGTAATAAAGTAAGATTCAGGATTAAGATTAGGATTAATATGTTTTGGACAACCCACATTTTACCCAGATGGGCCCCACAGCTAACCCATATGGGTTATCTGGGCTGGCCCATATGGGTCCCATAAGGATCTTGGGTGCAAAATTATCTGGGGCCCATATGGGTCCGCGCATATGGGACCCATATCTTGACCCAGATGGGACCCATTAAAGCTTCCCCATATTTTACCCAGATGTTTGCCCAGATGGGCCCCAGACATAACCCATGGCTGGCCCATATGGGTCCCATAATAAGAATCTTGAGTGCAAAATTATCTGGGGCCCATATGGGTCCTCCCATATGGGACCCATATCTTGGCCCCGATGGGGCCCATATGCCACCCATATGGGCTTGCTTCCTGGGCAGTTTAGCAGAGCCTGGTTCCCAGATGACAGCTCCAGATGTACCAGTCCCCCCTCATCACCATGAACAAGCCGAACAGCAGCCGCAGCTGGAGCCAGCAGCACCTCCTGAGCAGCAACCGCATCCGCAGTTGGAGCCAGCAGCACCTCCTGATGAAGGCAGACCATGCAGACAGCGTCATCCCCCAAGACTGTTCGAGTATGCCCGACTCGGAGAACCATCATACCAACAGATGGATCCTCGAGTCACAGCTGTCCAAAGTTTTGCTGCACCTCCCTGGGGAATGCCGATGTATGCAATGCACAACACTGTGGCCCAACCGGGTTACATGCAATTCCCACCAATGATGCCGCCCAGCTGGATGTGGACCCACCCGCCACCTCAGCCAGGTGGGGTTCCTAGAGTGTAACCCTCCGATGAGCAACAGCCAGTAACGACGCCCTAGAAGAAACCCCTATGCAGTGCACACTAGGGGGAAGAGATCGTCGGCCAGTAGCATTGATGTGAGGTCAAACCCACCACGAGCTGTAGACGAGATACGTAGCCTATAGACAAAGACGTTACTGTGCTTGTCATCAAGTTCCAGTCCATTTCACTGATGATCTTGGACATAAGATCCGGAGATGAAGGGAAGTGGAATTAGCTACTTCATCCACCCTGAGTCCCACAAAGTTACTTTGCTGAGGAGAAACCGCCTAGTAACTGATGAGTGTTATGCTCTTGAAATGGACACACAATGAACCGTTTCTCTGATGAATAGGATCAGATGTAGTTATAAGTTTGTAAATGTTAGAGACAACATTTCTTTTTGCAGGGGTGAGTGTAGAGGCCATGGAAATTGGTCACCCCCTTTTTCAATTTTGCCCCTCCCCTTTTATAATGTAATAGTCCAGACTTTGCTTTACCTCTGAAAATAATGGACTGATCCAAGAGTTGCCACATCAGCAAGGGACAGGAAGTTGGCTTCATTGTTCTTACAAGCAATGACCCTGCCAACATCTGCAATAAAGTTGTCCTCATGCATTTCTGTATCTTTGGCTGACAACTCTCCATTATTTCTTACAGGTATGTCTATTTTAACTTTCGTTTCTGATAATTCACATTCATAGATTTCCTTTGATTTAAGCCTTTGTATTGTGTTTAGTTGTTTTAATTCTTTAGACTGTTAATGTTGAGACTTGAGGAAATAAGTAGTTAAGTTCTGAAACATTCGATTCCTCAAACTTTGTGAAGAAGTTCATTATTAAGTTAAGGTTCAAAGTTCCTTCATTGCATTCATTTATTCTGTGAAACTTGTATAAGTGTTGAAACATGAAGTTTTAGACAACTGTGAGATCATGTTTCTGATTGATGAATTAGTGTTCAGTTGAAGACAGTTGATTGAGGAAAGTTTCACTTTTAGACCCAGAATTAATTGCAAGGTTCCTTTATGCAAGAAGTAGGAGTGAAGATGGTTTCAGTTGAGATGGATTCTCTGAAGCATTTGTACACGTAGAGGTTTAGCATATTTTAGTTAGAAGTTAAGTTATCTTTGATTTTGCCTCATGTACTGCCTTTAGTTTAGAACAAAGGAATCTTGAGACATGCACATGGACCAGTCAAGACCATGCTGGGGCCCTGTGTGAGTCTTGTTTGCTCAACCAGAGTTAATCCTCAATTGTTTATCTCTGCATCCTGTGCATGGAGCAGTAGGGCTGTGCATGTTGCAGTGCCATGGACATACATGTATGTATGCACGTGTATGTCAGTAGTAAAGATGTCGATTATCACTAGAGTCAGTATCGATATGGTGTTCCATTGATATATTAGATATCGATTATACAAGTGTGTCACAATTAATCGATATTGGTAGAAGGAATTGGTCTTTTGCATTTCGTGTTTCTTAACTAGAATTTGTGTTTTACTTAGGTTTTATACTTGTATTTTAAATGTATTGTTGGATTTGTTCTTACAAGCAATGACCCTGCCGACATCTGCAATAAAGTTGTCCTCATGCATTTCTGTATCTTTGGCTGACAACTCTCCATTATTTCTTACAGGGTCACCAACTTCATCATTTTAATGTAACTCTCGTAAGTGCCATCTCTGGCAATTACACAGGTGTAACAGTTTGTCCAACTTGAAAAGATAAGGTTTTAAGATCGAATGTTATAGCTAACATAAAAATTGATTAATAACAGCTTTCAGTTCTGCATGCTCCCACATTTTTTTTTGGGAGGGGGGGGAAGAGATCTGTCAAAAAGAAAAATGGCCATAAATGAAGTTGTTATCAACAGACTTTACGCAGCTAGCATTTTAAAAAGGGATTCAAAAATACTGTTAAGAACCCAGAATGCTTGATTATGGAAATCTAGCGCCCTCTGGATTCACTCTGTCCATGAAGTACACAATCTTCTTGTTGTCTTTTATAGTTCCTGTATTTTACCCATTTATCGTAAATTGCCAACTTGTACTTTTATTCCCAGGGTCTCTTACCAAGCACAGCGCATGATGCAATACCACGCGCGCTACTGCATGCATTATTCATGTAGCGATGTACATGTGCGCGACTGACCACACCTCCCTTCGCCCCAGCGAGCTAAGTTCCTTTCCCCATAGCATGCGTGCTTTGGCGTTCTCCGAGAGACTGCTCAGCGGCACAGAGCATTTCTCTACCCCGTGTGTTACCCATGAACTCTAACTGGAGTTCTCGGTCCAGTTTTCCAGTCCCATACTTAGCTCGAGGGAATGGAATGTTACCCTTGCGTGGTCGCGTAGCTGGGCGTGGTAAGACATCCTGCGGTGTCAATAACCTGTGACACAGTAACCTTTTAGCTTGTCACTCACTCCATCAAGGTTGCTTGAGATGTTGTGTAAACACTTTTGCACTCTGATCTAACTATTTGCACACATCTCTCTCTGAATTTGCACACTTCTCTCTCCATGTTTTCCCTTATGTAAATGCACACGTTTCTAGTCTCTTGCACTAGGCACTCTTAGTAAATCATGTGACTAGTCATTTGACCCTTAGACATGGAAGATTACTATTGGTTAATTCCTAAATCAGTGCTCATGCATTATTTAATCCCGAGACTTCTACTGCCTATAAATACCGGAGGTTTTCCTCACTTTCGGCAGTGCGGCGAACCACGAAACCAATGTAGTGCGAACGAACCCTAAACCCAAAGTTGTGCGGCGAACTTATATGTTGTGCGGTAACTCATATGATGTGCGACGAACTCGACTCTGACAGACCGATTGTTGTGCGACTCTTGTCACTACGAAGCATCGGCCTCCCTCGGTGGTTGAGGCGCGGTGAAGTAATAGTGCAATCACTAGTACTAGTGTTATTATGAAGCATCCTTCTCCTAGATCCCTCGAGGAGTGTGTAGAAGCTGGTGAAATAGTAATACACTAGTCCCAATGGTGCTGTGCGGTTTCGAATGGCCATTGGACTGCTAGTCTTTAGCTTGAACATGTTGTGCGGTTGTCTGGTGTTCTAGCCCAGCCAGAGCTAGTTCATCCCCGTCACCACAGCGGACCGCTCCCGCGGTGGCCAGCCGGCTCCCCGTAGCCATTCCCCCGTAGTTCAGCTATGCTAGCCCAGTCTTGTCATAAACACTATCCTTGGTGCATAGTGCCTCGATTGACCTTGGATACCCGATATGCCACATGCACACTTTGGTTCGAACTGTAGTGCAGCCTGGTACACTTGCTGGCCCCGTCCAGTTGCCGTTGCCTCCCCGGTCACCGTAGTGGACCGCTCCCGCTTTGGTCTGGCCGTCGATAACTCGTACCGTGCCGGTGCCCACTCAGTTCGTATTGGTTGACATGGTTTTGCCATAGTACATAGTACATGTATAGACTTTGTAGACGCCAACCTGTTATCTCTATAACGCTACCAAAGACTACCAAAAGGAGAAACCCTATAGGTTGATGAAATCTAACAAAGTTATATAAAGTGATGAGATAAATAAATCAGTGTATTGACATGTGTGACTGTCACCCCAAAGCTCTGTTTTCCTCCAACTTATTGAATTATTGTTGACTCTAATAAATGTTTCATGAACTGCTATTAGGGAACGTAACAATACCAAGACAGTTTACGCATTCCTATTGGTCGAGAGCCTGTCACGTGGCCGGTCTTAAACGAATGATAAAGACATGCCTAGCTGGTCTTAAACACTTTCCAGTGTCACATGAAATTTGGACTCCCATGAAATTGGGTGCCTTAAGTTTTAACGTTTCATTGGTTGAACGTGCACATCCTCACGTATGCATGCGCAATACTACCAGTGAATCAGTATTTCATATGGTCCGAAATTCACACTACACCAGCCCAGCTCCATTTTACACGACATCACGTACTCAAGCGATGCGCACGCCAATGTCCTTATAAGGTAATGAGTTGTGGAGGGGCATTCCATATTATAGTCAGAGGGGTATTTCGTAAAACATGAAGTAAAATTGTTGAACAAAATGGTTGGCAACGTCTAGTTTTTCACTTGTTTTGATTTTTGGACTGAAAAGATTCTGGGTTTTTTTACCAAAAAGGTTTTTATGAATGGGAATAAATATGTGCTCGGTCGGTATTGACCACTCTGTTAAAGAGCAGTGGGAGTCTGCATGGGTGATAATTACCCATCCAGACTCCCACCGGTCTTAAACATAGTGTTATAATACCTCCCGAACACACATTTATGCCCTTATTATATACATGTTTGTATCAGACAAGTTGAAGCGTCTTATTACAAAACCACTCAAAAATGACATCTCAAGTTCTCACACATGTACTTTATATGTTGATTTTATTTCTGATTACACTTTTGTTAAGAAAACATAAAAAAAAAATCATAAAAATACAGAAAGACATCAATGACTGCAAAACTGTTTTGGTATTTTCTTACATACTTCAGGCACAATGTGGTTTAAGTAATCACCAAGAGAAATACAACAACTGATTTCTTTATCATAATCCAATTGTATTATATCTATTTTGGGGAGCTGGGGGGGGGGCAATTTAAACCGGCACAGTTTTTACCCACACAAGAAGAATGGTATTTAGATGACATAATTTTGTTCAATCTATACTGAATGAGCATTACTCATTTATTTTCAACTGACAAAATGAGCTGTATGAGCACTTTTATACATCACAGGCCAATTACATAATTGTTGCATATAACCATGCCAAAAGTCTCATCAATTTGAAGGACTCACTTTTTGTTTGCAAACTTTTTTTAAGAGAAACTTAATTTATATTCCCCTATTTGGAAGCTTTGACTGGTAGCATTACAACTGCAATTTGTTTCAGCTGAAACCGCCTTACAGTTTTTATGATTGTGGCGCAATGGTGTGCTTGCAACGAGTTATTTATAGCGCGAGTTATTTATAGCACCCTCTGTAGTGGGGTCTGTTCGCGCGTTCCAAAGCAGGAGTGGATCACAGTGCGTCGTTGAGAACGGACGTGAATTGCGGCGTCTCGTGGAGAACGAACGTGTGTGTGCGTTGTCGTGTTGCTGCACTGACGTGCTGACGACTGGGCGAGGACAGGAGGTTAGTAGCTGGAGACACACCGGGGATCTGCTCTATGGTCTGTGTGTTAATTGCTACTTCGTGGGCTGTATCCACTGGGGCCTCGGGAGTCCTGCCGCCGGTAACTCGGGGTAGCCCGATAGTAATTAAGTCGCAAAAGAGCGTGGGGAGCGCTGCGAATAGTCCACCCTCGACGCAGGTGCCGTTTCATTCAGTAATTATTGTTGATTACCTCTTACAATATTTCTTACATTCTAATTGAACCTAATAGAGAATTAAAAGAACTTGATTCTCGTTGTTGTTTGGTAAATAAAGGTATCAGTGTCTGTTCCTTCATCGTTTGTTCAGTCTGCCAGTCAGTGTCCCTCCCTAAAGTGAACACCCTAAAGGAGACTACTTTGTACGTGTTGGCGGCATATGGCCTTCCGAATGGTCGCATTCCGTAGGTCACCTAGATTACCGCTCGTCTAGGCTTACCAAAGGTTTAGTCAGGAGGCCAGGGCGACCTGAGTTTGGGGAGCCCCAGTTCAATCAGCGCCACATTATTTTGAATATTGTTTTAAGAATCAATTCATGTTTTGTTGTCGCTCCATCTATTCCGTGAAAACCACCCCAAAAAAATGGCCCACCGGCTTCCTTTTTTGAGGTTGAATCAAATTGTTATTATTATTTTTTTAATTTCAGGGATAATCTTTTTTAAAAGATGTTTCAGGAATTCAGATGCTCCACCAGATGTCATGCACTTCTATTATAGTTGAAAACATGTTACCATGAGGTAAGAGTTCGCAAACTTATTCTAATCTGGAGGTTTAACCATATATTGATGTTTATAAAGCTAATACACAACATTCCATCTTAAATTTAAAACTTTATCATTGTATGTTGGACAAAACTGTAACGAAGATATTTATGCATCCCGATGAGAAATAACAAAAATCTAGAATATAATATGTAAGAAGTATCATCTAGCAAGCAGTCATTGGCCGAGTTTAGGCAGGTCATGTTCTTGACACGAGCATATCATTCTTACAAAACCCAACATATCATGGTGTGAGATCCTGTTCCGAGTGCAGTGTCCCTAATTTTGTCTTATGTTGTGTAATTCAAGTCAGTTGTGTGTATAAAAAGCGTGTGGTCAGCCCTGTCAACCAAAATGGCAATAGCGAAAAAATTACACATAAGTGGATTTAAGTTTTAGCACAAAACGTGTTCGACAGCGACTAAGTGAAATTCAAGCCCTGATAAGAACACCTTTATACTTTGCATAAAGCCAGCAAGGTGATACATTGTCCCAAAAGTTCAAAAATTATTTTCGTCTTACCATGTTTTGGAGACGCTAACTGCACAGTACTCTCTCCGTGATAAAGGTACTGATGTGCACTTTGTAGCAGCAAGCCTACATGAATGAAGACAAAGAATAAAAAAAATGATACTTATAGCTGAAATTTGAACATGGCTTCACCCAAATTTCTGCTACCTAAGGCCCCCCCCTCAAAAAAATTATTCTGCTTCCGATTACATGCCTTTCAAAAATATGGTCAGCAGGTCGGATTTTTTTATATTTTTTTGCCAATTTGGTTTTGTGCTGACTGAATGGGGTACTCAATTTATAAGCTAAGTTTCAGCCTGAACTATTTCCATTGCATTACAAAAGCTATACCAAAAAATGTCCACAAAAAGTGATTAAAACTTACCTTTATTATTGTAAATATGTTTACGTTCAATAATTTATAAAAATAATGGAAAATTCAGGCCGTACGCACCATATGCACAACGCTAGTCAAGACAGGAAACTTGCCAATATTGTCCGTACATCGCGCGGTAGCATGCGTGATGCACTGTGTGTGACTGGCGGGCAATGAACCTTTTTTTTTTACGGGTAGAAAATTTTATGGGAAACACGCTGCATCGTATCACCCCAAATCTGAGTAGTACGACCTTGAAATGAACTCTTGAACACGGAAAATATATACACAGACAAGTTAGATCAAGTTCTGTGAATTAACTTGCAAAAATGTTCTTTCTCCATCTGTGTTTGCTTGCCATTTTTACAATGTCAAACCCAACCAGTTGACAATGCACCGCTGCCAGCCATGCATATACCATGCACAGACTGGTTACCACATTTTCATCATGTCTTCTAAATTGGCCGTTGTGCGCAGCGCGGCGGAAACCAGTCATCACTGTATTGAGCTAACATTACGCTGGTGTTTATAGTCAACACGACATCGAATTGTGAACTAGTTATCGGAACTTATAAAACAGAGGGAACTTATAAAACAGAGCTTTCTTTTTAAAAAATAAATAGCAAATGTAAGTAGGAAAACAAATAAATACAAACATTTTTTACACAAAAGGGTTGTTGAGAGGTGTTTTGTAAAGAAAGAAAAGACAACAGGATTTTTTATTTATTTATTTATTTATTTATTTATTTTTTTTTTGTTTAAGGGTCGGTCAGGTAACCGGAAGCAGAACAATTTTTTGGGCCTAATGTGCATGTATTTAAAGAAGGCAGTGTTTTTGTTTGCTTTTTTACTTCCATGAAATACATTTTTTATCATTCATGGGCTACACACCAAATGTTGCGAAGTTTGGATGTTTGGACCACATTAATTTCAACCAAAGGGTGTACTTTCGTCAGACCAAATTCCATTTTTCCCCGTTTCTAAATTTTGCAAATACAATTTTCTTTTAAAAATGAAATACATTCAGTTTTATTTATAGAATGTCAATAAAACATTAACAGTACCGTGAATGAACCAAATAGGTTTCTGCATAGCACTTGCCTCGAGGGGTATTGTCATCGCCCTAGGCGATGACAATACCCCTCGAGCCTCTCGGCTGAGGGGTAAAAATCAGTTCTTGGAAAAGATTTGCACAAATATAAAGACGTTATAAATTATTCCGTGAACGTTCTGACTTCATATTGCAAGACAGCTGACAAGCAATTTGTGATCTGGAGAATTCGTCACGGGAGGAACTGTGCAAAATTCTATGCAGGAGTTCGCCAAACCAACGGAGAATTGTATGCACATAATTATATCATTGATAACTATTCGCTATGGATTGCAACGTTACATCCAACGTGCGTCAGGTATTGACATTGTTGCAAATGAACAATTCAAACCAGCTAACAATGTCTTCTTTGCCATGCTTGTAAAACTTAAAGCTGAAGGAAAGGGAGCAGTGCAGCACAAGAATCCTATCAGCAAAGAAGACATGGACCAAATTATGTCAGCATCAGCCCGTGGACCAAGCAACTCCCTTGGCACTTCAAATCAACGTATTCGTTGACATAATTATGCATTTCTGCAACAGCTAGGGCAGGAAAATCTTCATGGTATGATTTAATCCCATTTTGCAATTCAGACTGACTCAAAAGGGCTGAAATTATGTGCCAATTGCTTGTGACAGGTCTGCAAACAAAGAATCATCAAGATGATATGGGTGATGGTGAAGCAAGCCAGGCAGGAAGAATGTTTGAAAAACCCAGCAAGTTCTTCTTAATTGTCCGCTCAAGTCATTCGTGCTGTACTTTAGACTGAACCCAAACTGTGACATGTCATGGCAACGTCCAAAAAAGATCATTGGGTGACAAAATGAAGAACATATCCAAACAATCACAATGCTCCAAAGTGTACACAAATCACTGTCTGGCAACAACGATAACCACACTTGATGCCAAAGGTTTTGAGGCATGCCACACCACGAGAGTGGGTGGAATAAGAGTCCAGTATCAGGAGCTACAGCAGAGTAGGTGAAGAACAAAAAAGGAAAAATAGCCTGGCCCTCTCAAATAATGTTTGTGGAGATTCAACAACAGACACACACTGTGAAGCTATCAAGCAACAAGCACACATACATGTATACAGCTAGTGGCTCCAATTTGTCCATTGCTGACCATGTCACAAGGGGAGAACATTCTCAATGAACTTGCAACATTTCCCTTTGAGACCTATGAACTTTCTTTCTCATCATGATATGAATATCAACTAAAAAATGTTAACTACAACTTTCATGGATGCGTGGTTAATATTCATAATCACTAAGTGTACATTCACAGTAACACCGATCAGCAACTCAAAACAATCTAGGGAAACTTAAAATTTAATTGTTGAAAAGTTTAATTGTTTATTGTTGAATTGCTCCAACTTCTCTATTGCTGACCATGTCACAAGAGGACCACATTCTCATCGAACTTGAAACATCTCCTCCCAGAGCCTTAGACCTGTGAATTTTTTTTCTCATCATAATGTAAATGTGAATAGTCATAATCATTTGTGGGTACACCCACATGAAACAAACACTGAACAGCAACTCAAAAACGAAATCTAGGGTAACTAAAAACATTCCTTTAATTGAATAGCTAATTGTTGAATTGCTTTAATATGAGATAATTTTTTAATTAAAACAGTTCAATTATAAATCCCTAAAAAGTTTCATTTCTTATTTTATATTTTCAACTGAGGTGTGTTATAAAACGGGGACATTTCTATAGTCCGAAGTACCATTAGTCCGACGTCCCATTGCTCTATACGTTCCATGGGTATAAACGTCCCATTGGTCCAACGTCCCATTGGCCCGAAGTAACATTGGCCCGAAGTCCCATTGGCCCGAAGTCCCATTGGTCCGAAGTCCCATTGGTCCAAAGTCCCATTTGTCCAATGCCCCATAGGGTTAGGGTTAGGGTTAGGGTCACCAACCTGAACCAGTGGAACTAAACAGTATTATGTTTCGTTAAGGACGAATGGGACTTCGGACCAATGGGACGTCAGACCAATGGGACCTCGGACCAGTGGGACTTCGGACCAATGGTACTTCGGACTATCGAGACGTAACCTTATAAAACACATATGAACTGGCATAATTCGGTCACTATAGTGCACGTCTATGCCCCCCTCGGGCCTGTGAGTGACCAGAAGAGGGTGCTATTTCCCGAGGCCGAAACACCCTCTTCTGGTCACTCACAGTCCCTCAGGGCGCATAGACGTGCACTAGTGAACACATCGCCAGTTTATGTGTATACTAGAGATCTATGTCTGTTTGCAACAGAACATATATACATGTATAGGGCTTTTATGGGTTTTTTTTAACAGGTCCCTGACTATGCATGTACAAAGTTTCAATTGAATTTGTCCTATGGTTGTTCAGATGTATTACTTAAATATGCACCTTTAAGACTACACCACAAGACCCGTGATCCCGTGCTCGAACAATGCATGAGGTCACCGGTCAGATTTGTGAATAGCCTAACCTTTCCACAGACTAACATCCAAGAAAGCAAGTTCATTTCATTTACCAATTGCAAAAATTATTGCACTTCCAATTTTAACCGGAAAGAACGGTTAAATGCAAATTTGCACGTTAATTCAAATTTTAAGATGCTGGATTATTCTAGTAATTCCCGTAAAAAGCAAAATCAGATCTGTGTTCCTTTATTATGTTCAGGTTTGGCAGATGATATGTTTCCATTATTTCACAAACCTCCATTTGTTCCCCAGAATGAAAAAAGACAAAGAAAACTACTTGTGACCACGGGAACCGGCTCTTCAAGTTTAGAGATGGAAATATTACTGCTTTTATTTCTCATCAGTGGCCGCATGGCAGCAAAGCGCAGCCAGCGCTGTAAAACGACTTTTACAACATGTGTGTGCTCTTCTTGGTGGCTAACACAAGACTGAATCAAGCTAATCTAAACCACAGGAGTGCCTCGCATTCCTGGGCAGACCACATAGGGATTATGAATAAACATTCATTGCTAAAGAGGTGATAAAACAAAGTAACTGGTGTAGAAAAATATTGATTTATTCGGTTGAGTACTGGGACGAATTAAAATAAATCTGCTTTATCATTGATATGTAAATGAGACACGGTAGAGTGGTTAAGGGCGGGTAATTTGAATAGGGAGTGGCACAGGAATGTGTGCGTGGTTGGATTGAAGGTAGATCACTTCACGCTTGCGAGCAGCAACGACAACACACAATTTTTGTGGCGCTGTACTTCCATTGCGTTATATCAGCAAATGGGAGAGACGGCAGTTTTGCTCTCCTAAAGTCAATTTGACATCTCATTTTAAGAAGCTACATTACATTAAAGGCTACTGACAACAGAGCTCGCCCCTACATCGGTATCAATCAAGACAAGACAGTCGTCAATAGCAGAGGGACCGAAGATCGGAAAGCAGAAAGCAGAAAGCCAGTTTACGAAGCTAAGTTAAATTACAGTCTTTTTAATTTGCAAAAATGTAGTTGCAGATGTTGAAATTCACAGAAGATTTTTTTGAGAACGGAGAGAATTCTGGTTCCAAACGAAGAGGGTTCTGGAGATTTACTTTCCCACCGTGAATTGTGGGGACTTTTACACTAGTTCTTTTGTTATAAGATGTAACCAGTCCCAGAAAATGGTCAATTTCTGAAAACCCACACTCTACTTGTTTGAGACGAAATATAGGCCCTAGATTGAATCGATGTTCTGCCATATAAGTTGTTGGAAACCCATAATAAAGCCGTTTATCATTAATCCTTTGTAAGTTTCAATTCAGTGACAACATTTGAATGTCGTCCGAAAAGGGAGTAGATAGCCCTGGCATCACTATCAGTCAAATTTGGTGATACGCCCATATTTCTTTGTTCCTTGACAATGCATTGATTCACGTTGAAGTTTGATCTGAAAATCTTAATATCACCTTGTGAGCGTTTGACCAATCAGGTTTTCCTGGGTTTCACAGAAATCGGTTTTTCCAATTGTTCCAATTCCTACCATCATATGTGTCTTTAAATTGAGTGTACCAAAATAGTACGACCGCTGGAAAAGGGGGCAATTGCAAGAACAAGGATAGTTGTCTTAGAGGACGGCTTGGAACACTCCAGTTTCCTTCAGAAAGCCATAGACTAGAGAGCACAGTGCTCAAACCAAAAGTGGTTGGTTCTAAAAATGCGCAAAACGGGGTTGAAGTGGTGAGGAAGTTGGTTCAGAAGGTGAGAAATGCAGAATTATGCATACATGTCATGTAGCCCCTATAGATGACTTGCTTAACGATGGTTTAGAGATTTTGCCATCTTATTCCATCTTATAACAATTGCTTTCAGAAAGTCAGAGAGCACATGCTCAAGATGTCTTTTAGACAATGATTGAGTTTGCCAGTTCCTTCAAAACCAGAGAGAAGATTTAGTTCTAGTAGGCTTAACTTGAGATTCGTAAGTCCAAAGGTATTTAGAATCCCGTTTCACTGATGTATTTACATCTGTTCTCAACAAAGTTCACTAGTCTTGTTCGGAGTAAAGTTCCTTCAGTTTCAAAACTGTTCCACCGACGCTGGACGCACTGGCAGTACAAAAGGGATTCAATAGAATATTTGGGCATCGGTCAGATAGCGAGATGACTCGAAGCTCGACTCGGAGAGAATCGAAGACAGTGAAATTGGCCTCAAGTTAACCCTTCTATAGAAACATGCATGGTCAGCCTAGTTTATTACTTGGCCTAATCTTGGCCAAGATAACCACATTGGTTTAATATGAAAGCCACGAGTATCACCATACAAGAGTTTAGTGGTTTACGTGGCAATAAAGTTAGGGTCAGAGTCGTTTCTGACAGAAGTGTAAAACGAGATGCGTTCAGAACGCCAACAAGACAGTCTCAGCAGACTTACACCAAAATATGGTGATATCCTCAGCAGATGTTTGGTATTGTAAAAGTTACAATTGATCTCCCCAGCGGATGTTGATTCAGATTTGGCAAATAAGCTTTTATTTGTATTCAGAGTATAGTTGTAGCAATAAGCAGTGAGAAATGCGCTTTTAATTAAATGCACTTAATAAAGAAAGTGTTTAATAAGTTGACGCATGATTTTAATCTCGTTAAAGTAACAATCATTGTTATTTTCCTTTCTGGAAGCTCATCTTAAACAGCGATAATTGGAGGCAGCGGATTCCTCCATCAGCCAAAAGTCAAGAGCTGGATATAGTCTCGCCAGTCAACTGCCTTCCATGCTACTCGAGTCACAAGCCCCATCAACAGTCTCGCAGTACAGATCATCCTTCACGAGATGGCGACAATGGGCAGAGTTGCATGGAATATCATCCCTACCCGCAGATCCTTACACGGTAGCCTTATACCTGATCCATATTGGAACTCTGCAACATCACCATGCACCTACAGTCACAAACTCTTTATCTGCCATGTCATGGGTTCATCTCATGGCTAGTTGGGGACCATGATACAACCAAAGACCCTCTCGTGTCATACACCGCGCTAAAGGTCTGACAAGAACACTGGTTAAGCCAAAGAAAGATCCAATTACACCAGATATTCTTTCTGAGATGGTGCCAAAATAGGGTAAAAACCGTTCAGTACACATCTTATTTTATATAAGAATCATGGTCAAGGCCCTTATTTCATATACCGGGTCTTACCGGGTCTTATCGACTCAGTGAGTTAGCCGCACTTTAATTGACGTATTTACGTGTTATCTCATGCACTCGGCAATGTGAATTCAGTTATTATTGAGAGGTAATTATTGTCAACATGTACAGTTGCAATGTTGAAATTGTATGTTAAGTGAGTCAAAGTCTTCCCTTCAGATAAAGACCTTCTTTTGTGTTCAGAAACTTAAACAAATGTTAAAGAAGAGTATAAAGTGATTTCACAGAGGTATAAACCGATGAAGTACTCGAGAGTTTGAGAGGGAAGGTTCGAGTTTTCCTAGAGCAGCCCCATGCTGCTGTTGGAGTCTTAGCGGCTATCAAAGCAGATATCCAACAGGCTGTTCAAGCCTCATGGACACTATATCAGAGACAGCGAAGGATACTTTAATATATCCAAGAGAGTGATTGCAATATGATGTTAAATATCTAAATCCTTTTGGGGATTCAGCATTACAGACCCGTTCTTTATAGTTCATACCGGTTGCTGCTGCAAGCACAAATACCAAAATCAGGATGATTTGATTGTTTATTGTGTAGAATGGTGTTGAAATGATAAGCTACCCTTAGAGTCTATCTAATGAATGATAATGAGGTATGAAGTCAGGCCTCCTGCCTGGAGTTGATTACTTTTCCAGAAACTTTGAATGTGTGGCTGACCCATCCAGGGCCAAAGGACAGGTTTTCTCATGGTGGTTCTTAATAAAAAGAACAAAAATATAACATGTACATAAAACAATGTAGATAATAATAATTTCAATACTTGGAAACATGAAAACAATTCCAAACTTGTGAAAAAGCAATCCCACATACATCCCACATACTGACTGTTGGGATATAAAATATTCAGAAAACTTTCAGTAGAAATAGGAAAAACCAAAGGTGCCAAAAAAGATAACATTGAAATATGTTTCAAATATTTCACCGGTTACATACGGAAACCTGACCGAAAAGGAAAACAGTGTTTCTGCCACAAGAAGGCGCTGCTTGCTTTTCACAAACAGCAGTGTTCATCAGAAAGATGAAATCGACTGGTTACAAATATGGACTTTGTTTTAATTTGAATCTGATATAAAATCACATAAAACATATAACCAGGCCTCTCGACCTTAATGCTAGCCCAGCATACAATGTCTAGTAAAAACTGCTGCGGGCTTGTGATTGGTGCTTAATTATGAGGCGCCAAGTGTAAATAAATTATTGAACAAAATTATTTGTATATAATTCATTATTTATTAAATAATTCATTTTTCAGCTTATTTAGGCTTACTTATTTAGGCCTATATATAATGCATTATTTACATATCATGAATTTCTCCTCGGACAATTATATATAAATAATCGTTTGGCAGTTTGCATTATATTTAAATTTATATGCCACTATCATTTACAAATATTTTTTTTGCAACCTAATTATTTACATATAATTTGTCAATGTAATGTTAGTATTTATAATTTTTGGCAACATAATTATTAACAAATAATTTTTGCAAATAACTATAATTATTTATATATAATTTTTTTGACGTGTCACATGTCACCAAAAGACAGTGTGTGGCTCTTGTACCATTGCGGTAAAGGGGTGTGCTTTCTTAAAAACAATAATTACCAGCATTTGCACTGTTTTAAAATATATGTTCAAATAATATAGGTTTTCCCGGCCGAATTCAGCAAAACAGCAGTCAAATTCATTAACGTGCATTCGTTTTCGAGTGATTTTTCTCAGCTCGTTGTTCTCATGATTCATTTTCACACTTTGAGCCTTCAATTTCATTTGCAGACTTTGAATTGTGTACTGTCACGCATTCAATTTAGAACTAGCTTCATTCAATTAGACGATGCATACCCGTCATTCAATTTCACGCCAGTCGACTAGAAGAATTCCCTCCTGAATTTTACTTTCGTTTTCGTGGGCAATCATTTTCGCACTTCGAGCCTTCAAATTGAAAAAGGAAAGTACAATATTTATGAGGAAAACTGAAATGGACGATGCTTATATTGACCAAATGGAGTTTACTGAATAATTTGTTATTTTTACATACAACAAACACACACCCACACACCCACCCAGACTTGTTTCACATACGTAGTGTGGACTTTCCTTTCTTTTCGTGTAGTTAAGGAACACCAGTGGAAAAACTCATTTTTCTCAAACTGTGAAAACTCTTACAACCCAATTTTTTTTCAATGATTCCCTTTAGTGTTTCTCTTCATTCTGCTACAGATAAACCTAACCCAAAAATGCCTCTAAACCTGTTTTCCAGAAATGGGGAAACACTGTGTGGACGTGGGCAAGTCCACACAACGTCGGTGCTACCTACATTATGTGGACGTCTTTTGTTCGGAAGTCCACACTGCGTATGTAAGACAAGCTCACACATACACATAGGCATGGAAGTGGGTTACTTCCTTTGTTCTCGTGTACTAAAATTTTGCAACGTCGCACACTAATTTCAAAATACTCTTATTTTAACCTGAATTAATTTCCTGGGCTGAAATTCGGACTTAATGTCCCTTTTCTAAAACTCTTCCATTTGCGACAGATCAACCCACCTTGGAAATTCCTAGTTTTTGAGTAAAATCCATATTTCTATTTCATAAAAAAACTTGTGGGGTACCAAAACGGTACCCCGCAAGTTGATGGGCATTCCTTGTGGGGTACCTCCCATTGTTCCGGTACCCCATAAGGCAGTGGTTGTACACGCACCCAGACGCACCCATCTCATTGTTATACTCATGAGGACCTGATCCTTTTGTTTGTACTTCCAACTTTTTTTTCAACAGCTCCCATAAGGTTTTTACACGAATTCTCCCGAGGACCTGGGCCCAGCTAGGTCCTCAGGCCCATTAAAATTGCACACACCCCATTGTCCCAATTCCTCAGTCGGAATGGATAACCAACCCACGCAAGTGTGCATTTGCCTGAAATTGGGGACTCCTATTGTCCCTCTTTTGCTTGTACATTAACTTTTTAGGAATATCTCCCACATGTTTTGTACACATCGTCAAATTAGAGACCTTCGGGAAATGGGGACCCTATTGTCCTCTATTGTTCAACGTCCCCTATTGAAGGTAGAAACAAACTCAATGACACACACCCACATTTGTTTATGATGTAAATCAAGGATTTTCTATTGTTCCTCTTCCATTTTCCTTTGTTTATACGGTACTCTAACTTCTTTGCAACAGCTCTCATTGGTTTTGAATACGTTTTCTAAACGAGGAGTCCTCGATTTGGCTCCTGTCCTCGATTCATCAATGATGTTGCACATGTGTGTCCTCGATTTACACCATAAACAAACGCACATCTGTGTAAACACCAGCAATCATGGACCCCCTATTGCCCCTAATCCTCATTTCTTTGTTTGTACTCTTTTTAGCAACAGCTCTCATTGGTTTTGTACACGAATTTCAATCGTTGACTATCGGTCAATCGTGGACCCTTTGTTTGTGCCCTAACCCTTTTGTCTGTAGTGCCGGTGTTTACATACTCACACGTGTATGATTTATGTGTGATGTTCCAATTAAAATTATTCGGAATTCGTTCGCAATGGCTTAATTTCTTTGTTTATCACATTTTGCAAGTACTTCTTTGTCTCTCCATTTTTCATTCATCTTTTGTTTCTCCTTTTTGCATGCCCCCTCCTTTTTCCATTTATTAATCCTTTCTGTTATAAATATATACCGGTATTTTCGGCTGTTTTATTTCATTTTACTTATAATATAGGTGTTGTTCTTTCTTTTCATAATTTTAAAACGAAACAAATTACGTATCAGAAAATTAACTTTAAATGAAAAACATTGCACAAATGTCCCAAATGCTTGCCTATTCACGAAATTGAATGCCAAAAACACTTACCGCGGAGAGTCCGTGTGAATTTGAACGCCATATGCATGTTTTTCCAAATTGAATGCTGACTCTTCAATTGTTTTACAAATGTGTGCAATCGTGTGCTCATGAAGTTCAATGGAATGATCCTTTTTGCTCTTTGAATGGAGATCTAGTTCATCAATCAATTTCGTCCTAAATTGAATGAACCTATCGTTAATTCAGATGCTAAGCTTACGAAGTTGGGCAGGAAAACCTCTACTTTTTATATGGAGTTTACAACATTTCCTTGTTTGAAAATAAGTTGTTCAGCTTTGCAATATAATTTCCTTAAATAATTTATTCAAGATATGATGTAAAACTCCAAAAAGGGTTAAAACACCCCTTACGAAATTAAATGACATGTCCATAAAGATGGTTGCTAATATTTATTCTTTTTCATAGAAAAGGTCAACAATTTTCAGTGACATTACTTCTCCTCTTTTTCAAAAAGTTGATAAGTATGGTAGTGAAAAGGGACCTGTTTGTTCCTGACAAAACCAATCAGATCTCAAAGCAAGATTTTAGCGCTCCAGGCAGATGGCACATGTTGTGTTGCTCCATGAATCTTTTTAAGCTTTAAAAAAAAGCTTAAGGTCGAGGCCTGTATAACATTTCCTCAATGATTACAGCTTACAAGTAGGTGTAGTTATTTGCACTAATTGATCAGTATTTCAATCACATGTAAATTCTTTGGTGTAAAATTAAATATACAGTGCTTAAAGAACTTGAAAGGCTAATTTCATGAAAAGGTGGACAAACAACAAAAAAATAAAAATGTGTTGTATCTTTAGAACTACAAGTATAACAACAATAAGTGTGGTATCGAATTAAAGGAGACCATAAGATCTGTTGTTTGATTTGTGTTGCAGCAAGATGGAATGAAGTAAAGTGTGAAGTTTGGTAAAAAATAACTGTTTTTTCTTGATTATGGATTTTTGGTACTAATTTTGGCACCTCGTTTTAACATGCAAAACTTGAGTGGTAAGTTTTGTATTTTAGAGAAAGGTGCAACTTCTGTACAAATAAAGCTCTTTTGTTTGATTATTTCTTCTCTGTATGTTATAACTTGTCCCAAAGATGGGCGGACAAACTGTAACATATACGCTACATAAAAATGTAACTAACCAACGTTTTTGAGCACTACGTTTTAAACTGATGACAGGCATTGAGAAATGTTATTACATGTACATGTACCGGTATGTCAAAGCAGTAGGCCCCTACAGTGTAAGTAAGCAAATACAGAAGAACTATCATTTATTTCAGCTGTATCCCACTTTGAGGGAACTTTTTATGCAGAGATGCATATTTTTTTCCTTGTCAGTGTTTTGAAATGTGCATGTAACTTACCAAGACTGCATGTCCCATTACAACTCACAAAACATTAAAAAAAAGAAGATATTAATAGTGCAAAAATGGAGAATGGATAGCCACCCATGTTGAAATAAGTACCCAAACAGTAGTGTTACATTGCTTAAAATGTAATGAAACTGACCGTGGAAATGCCATGAACCACATCAGTTTACCTTTAATATCAATTTTTTCTAAAAGTTTCATTCTAAAATTGATTTTCAATTATTACATGGGATACTGTGACTGTACTGATGTGGTTTTGTCAAAAATAACAAAGCAAACAGATTAAACCTTTATAGCAAAGTTTGTAGAAATTGATGATCTGATTGCGATGTTAACATCATGTAACGTCAGAAACATGATGATATATTGTCTTTTGTACCATAGTAAATATGCAGTTCAGTATATGTTTTCATTTTTTTCCAATGATTACCACTGCAATCAAGTTCATATTTTGCAATTTTCCATATGTGCAACATCATGTTCGGAAGTACAAATTAGATGGATCTAGTTTACAACAAGTGCATGTACCGTACCGTATACCGTATGGTATATATTTTAGTTGATAGAATACACTGCTAAACTACTTGTGTGGCAATTTGAATACAGAGTTTACATAAAAGTTAATATGTTAGTATATTTTCTGCC